TCTATTCATCACATTATTGCACTATGACCCAAGGTTATTATCGTCAAGGAAAACGAACGAAATAACGAAAACTAGAATTGAAAAAACATTTTCGTTAACTGAAATAAATAAAAACGACAATTAAAAGAAAAAAACGATAACTAACTATAACTGTATTGTGCGTTGACAAAACTAACTAAAACGTACTGAAATTATAGATGAAATGTCCTTCGGTTTCGTCTTTGTCAATTTATTTATGTCGATTTATTTCGTCCAAGCAGTTTTACGTGAGCTGGCGGCACCGTACGGCACCTCTCTGTCCATCACTTCTTGTTTACAGTCGGCTTTTGCTCAGCTCGTTACCTGGAAAAATGTCCTATCTGGAATTTCTTTGACTATGACAGCGAGACAGATAAGTGTCATGATCCTCTCCGTCCGCTCCTGATGTGTGCCACGCCCCCTCATTATCCACGTGTGCTTCCCCGATCGTGCCCAGCTGTTCCTTGTTATTTTGGCTTGTCTTCTGTATTTAGTCCGCGTCTGAGTACATTACCTCAGATCCGTCATTAATGTTTGTTGATGTTTGTTGGCGTCTTGGTACTGTCCACCCCAATAAACCCCGTTTGCCTGCAGTTTGGTTTTGCCTCGCCTGCTTCCCGGCTCGCTCGCTGGCCCGCACCTTGACAGAATGACGGATCTCCATGAAAGAACGCTACTTCGGACCGAGGAGCAACGTCTCGGTCTGCTTCAGGAAGCGCTTTTCTGGCTGAAGCAGCCCGAGGTCCAAGAGGATCCAGTGGCACTGGACTTAGCCAGTCGGAGCGGCGACCTCCTGATGGAGATGACCCCGCCCGAGAACATGCACCTCATGGCGGAGGTGCATGAAAACCTCCGGCTCCTGATACAGCGCGTGACCGACAGGAGGCGGCCGCTGGTCACGCCGCTCGCAGCCGACGTGAGGGAGCTGCCGCCCGTCCCTACGGAGACAACGCAGTCTCCCTCCGCAACCGCGAGCCGGAGGAAAAAGAAAAAGAAACCGAAAGAGAGACCGGAAGAAGCCCCAACAATTCGCCTGGGAGCTGCCTTTCTCACCCCAGCTTCTTTCCCTGCCAGTCATCGGGGGGAGTCCCTGATAGCCCCGGACATCACCCCCGTCACAAAGTTGCCTTCGCAGGCAGCCTCCCCCTTCAGGGGAACTCGTCTGGCACTTAAAGGGGCCAGGACAGTGCTGGACGCTATCCCGCGGGTCCCGCAAGCCCTTAAAGGGACAGCGCACAGCCCGGAAGCACCGATCCTGGCGCCTATTCCGGACCTGCCGGCTACAGACCTGCCAGCAGCGCTTGCTGCTGCTGTCGCCGATCTGCCCGTGGCTGCGCTACCTGCTGCTGCCGCCGC